GCACAGGAGCCTGGATGCCTCCCCTCTCATCTTTCCCTCTTTCTCCAGAGCCTGTGGACAAACTAAACCACGGAGACCATTTTTTTCCCGCTTTTACCTTCTCTGGTATGTTGTAAGTGTTAAATACACATGGGAAGGGGCAGGAAGAGCAGAAAGGATTTTTTTCTTTTAAGTTATCTACCATGTTTCACGGCTGAGGTACACGAAACTCAAACTTCAGGCTAGTCAGAAAATAGTCAAGCCATGATTCAAATCCAGTTGTTGCCTACAAAGCCCATGTTCTTTCTAAGGTTGCGAGAATAATTATAGATATCCTTTACTGAGCCCTTGAAATGGTCCTGACACAATGCCAAGTACTTTTACAGATGTTATCTACTTTTAATTTTTAACAAACCAGTTGGTATTAGCCTTTAAGTGGTGAAGTGACTTGCTTAAGGCCATACAGCCAACAAAAGACAAAACTGGGTTTTACACCAGGCCACTTGCTCTTAATAACTTCTGCCTCCCATTTCCCCATGATGCTGTGTGACAAGGCCCAGAATCTACCTCTGCTGTATTTCTCCAAGTGGGGATGGAGGCTGCTAGTAGAAGGGGGAGGAAAAAGGAGAGTTTGGCCTACTTCCCTCAGCCTTTGAAGGACAGAATTGCAGAGCTCAGCTTAAGACTGAGGCTAGTGTCAATGGAGTCCCTTCTCAGGGCGCAAGTAAGCCCAAAGGCCCACAAAACCTTTCTTAGCTTGAGTCCACTCATAACTGGAGTTCTTTACTAATTCAGACTTAGCTGTTACTATTTCAAGTAAACTTTGCATGAGCTGCCAAATGGGGAAGAGACCTGAAGAAGGCCCTACTCTAGGGAGTTGCAGGGAGGGAAATAGTCTGACAGAAGATCTTGGGCCAAGTGCTGGGGGTTGGGTTAAACCACTCCTTGGGTCCAGATCTTAATCTTGCTAAGGAAATCAGGCTCCCGGGTGGCTGGAGCCGGTGTGTCGGACCTTTCTCCCTATTTAGTACCCTTTCCCTACAGAGGAAGGGAGACGAGTTTTTCCAGCATTTACTGGAAAGCATGTTGCTATAGCAGAGGTATGGGGTCAAGGCAGAAAGCAGAAAGGAGTTGGAACATAGAGGTTCTGGAGTAGACTTGACTGGACTCTCTAGCAACCTGAGATGGTAGGCACCTCCCTGCAGCACTCTGGCCCAAGACACTCAGTTTGTCGCTAACCACTTAAAAGTAAAAAACCCCACATTTTGGCTTGGGCCTTGTACTAAGACTTGCTTTTCTGGGGTTCCTTACTACATCTTGAATCCATCTATTGCTTTCTCAAGGCCTGGGCACAGCTTGTTTCCTCTCAGCTCCGACTTCAATGTTCTTTTTCGCTGCATTCTCTCCTCCAGCTCTGTGGCGTCTCCCTGCCCAGTGTGTCTGCCCCCAGCAGAGAGGTGCTGGAGAGAGGCCACCAAAATAATATTGCCACAGCGACCATTCACGAGACACTCCCTTGCACCTGCATAGTGCTCTTTGTTGGTAGTTTTCATCTCTTCACAACCACCTTAGGACAAACACCATACTAGCCTGACTTGTAAACGAGGAAAACAAAGACTCAGAGCAAAGGGGTGAATGACCTGCTCCAAGTCACAGAGCTGGTAAGCGGCAGAGCAAGAACTGGGACTCAGTCCTGTGTGTCTGCAAAGCCTGTGTTCTTGATGCCATGGCGTTCTACTTGAAAAAGGAGCCTTTTGAATGTAGATAACTGCCAAAGCTGGGGGATGTTTACAAAGAAATTTTATTATGGTATTCTTTCTCTGATAAAGAGAACTTTTAGGACTTTGTGAAACAAGAAATATATTTTAAGAAGTCATATAGGTGCAAAATGTGAAAAGTCATCCTTCTTTTCCCCATTTAGCCCCTAGAGGCTAATACAGATGACATGACAGTCTAGTGTATTTCATTTGTTTTATGGATAGGTAGGTAGATAGATAGATAGATATAGTACACGTGTCTTTGAAAAATTCCATTAAGAAGGGATTACTGGAGCCAGCAATATATACATTTAAAGATTTGGAAGTACTGCCCTCAGTAAGGCTACGTGAGTTTTTCACTCACTCATCTTGTGCTATATGATTGTGGAATATGTCAGAAATCCCTTTTGGAAACAGGTGGGATATAAATAACAGATTCATGCTTTATTTAAAAAAAAAAAAATTCTTCCATCAGGGAGAGAAGTGACTTGGGTACTGGAGAAATTACTAGTTCTCAGTCCTAGGCCACAAGGGATGCCTGTAGTCCCAACACGACTTACTGACTTGATGGGTGCCGCCTTTAGGGAGGCAGCAGAAAGGACTGAACTTCCCAGTCTTGGCAGAAGAAAAGCCCTGTGATGTCTTGCTTACCTTGGCCGTACCAGCTCTCGACCCCAGCTGCCTGCCTGGTTGGAGGCAGACTGCCTGGCTACTCCAGGGCCCCCCTGGAAAACAGCCACTGTCACACCTCTACAGTGGGAAAGGAACCAGCTGAGAGGGATGATTCACAGAGCACTGAGCTGGGGGCACAGGGAAACTAGCCTCTTTACCTCCAGTCTCCCTATGCCTACCCCCAGGAAGCCTGGGGGTTGTTACTATTTAATGTGGTAAATCTGTATTCCCTACTCCCCATAAGGTATTAGTATGTGTACTTTTCAAAAAACATTTAAAAAGATTTTTGACATATCTTGGTAAGAGTTGGTGAGGAGAGGCAGAGGCAGATTGGAAGTTACAGCCCTAATTTTTCCTTTTTGGTATAGTGTGTGTTTTATTTTCCTAAAGACATAGTCTTTTTCCTTTTGACCGCAAGTCATGGGCAGTGATGAGAGAGTAGGCCCTGACTCCCTTAGATGACAAATTATTTTTAAAATTAACAGAAAAAGGTTGCTTTTTAAATTTAAAGAGGAAATAAGGATACTCTGGCTTAGAGTCTGCTTTCCAAAAATCCTAAGGTACTTTCTTTTTATAAAAATGAAGAGGCAGTTGTCCCAAGACTGCCCACCCACCTGTGTCTTTGTAGGTGCCTTCTTTTCTCTTTTTCCTAATAAAACTGCCCTTCTGAATACAAAATAAATAAATAAATAAAACGAAGAAACCCAAGCTCATATGCGTGTGATACAATAGTACAGAAGTAGCTCTCAATATTGTCAAAGTGAACATATCCCACTTTAATCCCTTCCATTGCTCTCCTAACTAGAGGGAACCACAGATAACAGCTAAATGTATATCCAAAACTCTCCCTTTGCAGTTACAGATGCACATATATTCTTTTTATTTTAATCACAAGTTTCTATACCTTGTTTCCTCCCCCACTTAATATATCTTTGGGATCTTTCCATACCAGAAAGAACAGGTGAATCATTCTTTTTTTTAATAGGTGCATGAATGAATGCAACTGCAATTTATTGTAATTCTTCAAAGTTACAAATCATCCTGCAGTAAACATTTTTATATATACATGTAGGCTGTATAACTGGATGTGGAATTTCACATAAATGGGTTAATACCTTTGTTGTCATCCTGAGAAAGATAAATAACTCTAGTCCTGGTATTCTAAAAACAAAGGTTCAGTGAGCAAGTGAGTGGGAAATGACTGCATGCTAGGCCCCCTCTTGGCAATTCAGAAGTAGCCTATTAGAAGTTATAGAAATTCTTTAGCAATTACTCACTGTTCAGTGGTTTTTAAAAGTACTCAGAACAGCGCTGTGTAAGTAACCTAGGAGTTTAAAAAAGAGTTGTTTGCAAAGGGAAAGGCTTTAAGTCTTTGTACACATTTATTAAAATTTCCATGAACAGTGTGGTAAGTGCCCCTACGTGGTAATTTTTGAAAGACAGGATGGCATTTAGATAGGAACTTGGCCACACACTGTTCCACCAGGTTGAGCAGCTGGGGTGGAGTCAGGTTTGTATTTTGTGCAGGAACTGGCTAGGCCTGTCAGCCCCTCCCAAGCCCTTTACATCAGGTGAGGGAACCAGCCAGGCCTGACATAAATCAAGTCTCCAGGCTGACCATGGGGAGAGGGGAAGAGTTTTGTTTTGGCTGAAGTCTGGGTGAGAGGTAACCTTTTGAGGAGACATAACTTTGCATCAGTCAGGGCCAGGTCTACAACACGGGGGTGTGGATCCAGAATTTACCTAGAGCCGGAGCCACTTGGGACATGACAGGCCAAGACCCCAAAGCCACTCCTGTGCACCCAGGCAGCACCTTTGCTGTGCCCATTAGAGCAGTCAGCACTCTGGTTTGTCTTCTGTCCATTCACACTTAATGGACAGTGTGGACACTTATTTCCACAACTGGAGAAGATGCAGTCAGGAGTCATAGTAGAAAGAAATCAAGGGAATTTTCTATGATCAGTACTATTTTGGTTAACTGCTCAGGTTGTGATAGGTCTTACTTCACTTTGAGCTATGGCCTTGCAGGTACATCTGTCCTGTTATTTGTGTAGGTATGGTTCACCCCACGCCTGGTTTTGAACAGCCTACAACAGCCTCCACATAATGAATGACAGGCCTCACAGTCTGGCACACTCAACCCCTGCCCTCTTTTTCTTCCCTTCCCTTTGGGTAGCCTAGCCCAGTGTTTGGAAAGCTGCCTCTGCCTAGCACGCACTGTTTTGCCTTTCATCTGTGCTACACATTAGAAAACACCTTCTCGGTGTCTTGTGCACAGTTTACATCACCGTCATTTCACTGTACGAAATCGCTTAAAAATATTCGGGGTGACCTCGGGGGCCTGACCGAGAGTCTGGGGGTACTAAGGCCCCCACCAGCCCCGGGCTCATCCCGGCGGCACTGAGCAGGGAGAGGCCCCGCCCCGCCCCGCAGGCCCCGCCCGCCCCGCCCGCCCCGCAGGCCCCGCCCCCAGCCCAACAGGCCCCGCCCCGCAGGCCCCTCAGGCCCGCCCCGCCCAGGTGCTCCCGGCCCCGCCCCCGCTCTCCATAGTTACGGCGCGGTGGAGGCGGCGGCCATCTTGGCGGCGGAGCGATGAACGGGTCCAACCCGAAGGCTGCGGCCGCGGGCGCGGCGGCCGGGCCGGGGGCGCTGGTGGCCGGCAAGGACGAGAAGAAGAAGGCGGGCGGCGGCGTCCTGAATCGGCTCAAGGCGCGGCGGCAGGCGCCCCACCACGCGCCCGACGCCGGCATCGGGGCGGCGGTCACGGAGCAGGAGCTGCTGGCCCTGGACACCATCAGGCCGGAGCACGTCCTGCGCCTCAGCCGAGTCACCGAGAGTGAGTCCGGGCGGGCCGCGCCCTCCCCTCGCGCCGGGCCGCGGCCCCTCGCAGTCTTCGGCAGAACCGGCCGCTCGAGGCTCGACGGGCCGCGGGGGCGCGCAGGCCCCGCCGGGCCGGGCCCCGCTGCTCCTGCGGCCGGGGCCGCGCTCCCGCCCGCACCGGGTCTGCCTGGGAAGGTTCGCCCCGAGCCCGGCTGAGTCCCCGAGCCCGGCCACGCCAGGCGGCCCGGGCCCGCGCCCTGCTTGCGCCGTCAGGCCAGGCCCGTCCCCTTCTCAGCGGCATCTGCTTGGTTAGGGGGCCCCCTTCAGCCTCACCGGATCCGCCGACCCTGGCGAGCGGGCCCGCCGCCTGCTCAGCCTGGAAGCCCTTCCACAAACACCAGCGAAGTCCCCGCTCCGCCAGGCCTCCATGGCCGCCTGCCCCCTGCCCTGCAGCCCTCTGCCAGCCCAGCTCCCCTGCTGCTGCCTCCTCTGCGTGTCCCTCCGCTCTGCCCCCTGACAGCCGCTCCCCGCTTTCTGGCCCTCCTCGGTACCCTGCTTTGGTCTGAAACATTGCCCGTGTGTGTGCAGATGGGAGCTTCCTCCCTCAAACGCTTTGCCCTGGCATTTCTTACGAATTTAAAGTATCCGAAACAACGATATTTTAATAAAGTTTCAGTTGATGTACAAAATCCAAACTATGAATCTTGCTTTTGACAGTTGTTGCAGTGAACTAAGAATTATGTCAGGATCTCAGAAATGCCTTTCTTGCATAAAATGCAACCACTCACCTTTTCGTTGCTCTAAGGAAGTGTGGAAAGAAATATTGCCCACTCCGTCCTGAAATTTCTTCTCTTTTTCTGTTCCCTTTCAACCAATTCTTGACTTTCTCTTGCTGCTCTTTCCCCCCAAGAGTTTGCAAACGCTAGGACCTGCTTCCCCTCCCTTCTTCCTCCTCCACCTTCCCCAGTGGCTCTCAGCCTGCCATGGTGGCCTCTGCTGACTTGCTTTAGTAGTCAGCCCAGGGCTGCTCAGGTCTGCTAAGGGCCCTGGGGTCAGCTCCAGTGATTTGGGGGCTACAGGGAAAGGCTTGGAGGAGGTGCACCTTGGGCCTTGAAAGGGAATCCCCATCTCCTGAGATATTTTTAATTTGATTCTAGATGTTTTGATGGCCCATTCCCCCCTCACTGTTTGGCTGGGGCTGCCTGTGGCGTGGCTGTTAGTGCTTTTAGGTCTTGCTGTTCAGTGTCATGAAAGCATGTGGAAAAGCTGCATCTGTGCTGACCCAGTTTTCATTTGGTGATCTACAAGTACAGAAATGCTCAGCACCTCACCTTTCCGTCCTCATGCTTTCTTCTGAAATCGGGGGTCAGTCAGGCCATTGTAAAGCTTGGGTCTAATGGGCGCTCAGGCCCTGCAGAGGATCTTGGGGTTGGTACTGTTGCCCGAACTTACCTCTGTAGCTAATTGGGAGAAAGCCACAGTCAGAGTTAGGTGACCTCTGGGTTTTGTCCTCTTCTTAAAGTTTGTTCCTTTCAGCAAATGTTTTCAGTACCTTCTACAGGAGCAGAACCGCTCAGCCTTTTTGGGATTACAGAGCGAGCGATCTGTAGCTCTCCAGTTTGCCATCTTACTGGAGAAATAACCTGTGCATCGTGAAACAAATAACACAAGCAGGCAATACGTGATAAGGTGCAAAATGCACCTTATTTCCATAACTGGAGAAGATGCAGTCAGCAGTCATAGTAGAAAGAAATCAAAGGAATTTTCTATGATCAGTACTATTTTGGTTAGCTGCTCAGGTTGTGATAGGTCTTACTTCACTTTGAGCTATGGCCTTGCAGGTACATCTGTCCTGTTATTTGTGTAGGTATGGTTCACCCCACGCCTGGTTTTGAACAGCCTACAAGCTAAGAATGATTTTTTAACATTTTTATTTATTTAATTTTTTAAAGATTTATTTTGTTTATGCATACAAGAACTGGGATGTAGGTCAGAGGTGCTGAGACTTAACCCCTTGCACCACTAGGGAGGCCTCAAATTCATAGTTTTATTGAAAATAACCTTATGCTCATTCATTTGTGTGTTATCTGGCTGTGTGCACTACAGTGACAATGTGGAGTAGAGATTGTGTGACCAATGCCTAAATTATTTATGACCTGGCCCTTTATAGAAATAGTTTGCTGGTGTCTGCTTTAGGATGCTCCCTGTTGGCAAACAAGCATTGTATTAGCCACTGAGTCCGTGTTTTGTAAATGGATTTCTTTAAAAAATTCTATCCATGTTGATAGAAATCATGAAAAGTATGTAGGCCATTTTTGAGATGCTTCTGAAGAAATCTCCTTTTTTTTTTTCTTTAAAGATTTATTTATTTATTTATACAAGCACAGGGTACAGTCAGAAGCATCAGAAGCGCGGGAGGGTGAGAGAATTCACCAGAGCCAGAGCGGGGAACAGAACAGGCAGACTGACGAAATACATTGCTGAGGGGAGCAGTGGGTGCGGCAGATGTTGGCGTGGCAGATGTCTGCACGCCATGTGAGACCCTTACCAGAGGTCGGGGATCGAACCGGCACTGTAGAGGCTGCGGGCAGCTTCGCAGCCCAGAGTTCAACTGCTGCACCACTGGGGAGACCCTGAAGAAATCTCCTTTCTATTCCTGTTTATACAAGGATTCCATCCAAACCCAATCCAAGATCTTTTTTTTTTTTCCTCGTATGCCTAATTCACTTCACACAACTTTGCTTATAACTTTTATTCTCTCATTTTCAGATTATTTATGTAAACCTGAAGACAACATCTACAGTATTGATTTTACACGCTTCAAAATTCGAGATTTGGAGACAGGGACAGTGCTTTTTGAGATTGCCAAACCTTGTGTTTCAGGTAGGCCTCTATATTGTAATTGTTGCTTGACATTTGAAGCAAAAGTTCTTTGGCGCTTGAGTGTTTGTGTGCCCTTGGATCCCATGTCGTGGGCTCCAGCGTTCCCCCGCGAGACCGCCCCATGCTGCTCGGCCCACCAGGTGTGCTGGTTGGAAGCTGTGTTGAGAGTTGGATGTATGTGGAGCATCGACTTGGTCCTGGTCCATATGTTTCTCTTCTTTCTGCTCATATCTGCTCAGGTAACCCTCCAACCTCAGGGGGGAGTGTTTTTTTGTTTTTTTTTTAAATTTTTTTTTTTTAATAGAGGCATGTTTTATTTTATTTGTTTGTTTGTTTGTTTTGTTTATACATGCACTGGGTACAGTCAGAAGCGCGGGAGGGTGAGAGAATTCACCAGAGCCAGAGCGGTGAGCAGAGCAGGCAGAAGGACCGAAGTACACTGCTGAGGGGAGCAGCGGGCGGCAGGAGAGGTCTGCGCGCCATGTGGGACCCTCCTCTGGTGGCCAGGGAGCAGCCGGGGATCGAACCGGCGCCGCAGAGGCTGTGGGCAGCTTTGCAACCCAGCGCTCAACCGCTGCGCCACCTGGGAGGCCCTCAGGGGGGAGTTTTTAATCCCCACTTTACAGATAAGGAAACTGAGGCTCAGAATTTCCTGGTGACTTTCCTAAAGGTCTTGTGCTCATCGTGCCGTATTCCCTCTCATTAGGAGAGATGTCTTTGAAATTTGACTGTAACGAGGAAAGCCCACCTAAGCCTGCATCTCAGGAGTCTCTGGAAGGCTGACATTGAGGGCTCCGCTTGCTACTTTGGGACAGTTTCACCCCCTCCATGCTCTTTCCTTTAAAAAGTGCCTCAGATTTTCCAGGAAGTTCTGTTTGGATTTTAATTTCTGCCATTTTCTGGTTGAACAGGAAGCCTATACCTGTGAAGTCATCTGCTTGGGCTTCCTTAAATTAGCCCTGAATAGACCTTTCCTGCGCTTGTGGTTCAGTTCCAGGGTGATTCATTTCTGGCTAGGGGACCATACAGAAGTCTTTGGAGCTCATTGCTGGAGATTTAGCACCCCCTGGAGTTAGATATTAGAAAACACACTAACCCTTCAGAGTGTCAACTGTGGTTAGTATCAATACTTCTTTTTGCAAAGCCTTTTTCCCGATCTGATTTGCTACTTGGGAAAAACCAGTGAAAGCAGTTTTCAGTACCTCAGATAAATCGAAGACCTTCCTGGGAAGCCTAAGCTCAGATTAATTACAGAGCCAAGTCTAGAGACCCGGTCTCCTATGCCCTCCCAGGGGCTGTCATCATCTAGTTCTGACCAAAGCACCTAAAGGCTCAAGCCTTTGGATTCTTGTCTCAGGTTTCCTGGGTTTGTGTTCACGTCCCTAAGCTATGTGTCCCCGTGGGTGGTGGATTTGGGCCATACTGGGCTCAGAGCAGTCACTTCAGTACAAAACTGAACTATCTGAATGAGTTCATCTGCAGAAACTGTAAAAGTACTTTTTTTTAAAGATTTATTTATTCATGCATACAAGAACCGGGGTAAAGGCCAGAGGTGCTGGGGGATGAGAGGATTCACCAGAGACAGAGTGGGGAGCAGAACAGGCAGACTGACTGAAATACACTGCTGAGGGGAACAGCAGGCAAGACAGGAGAGGTCTGCTGTGCCATGTGGGTATCTCCCTGGCTGGCCAGGAATTGAACTCATGGTGCAAAAACTGCAGACAGTTTCACAGCGTTGTGCTCAACCACCTGCACCACCAAGGGAGGCCCTGTAAAAGTATTTTTTAAAAAAGATTGATTTATTTATGCATACAAGAACTGGGATACAGGCCAGAGGTGTGGGGGATGAGAGGATTCACCAGAGACAGAGTGGGAAGCAAAACCGGCGGATTGACTGAAATACACTGCTGAGGGGAGCAGCGGGTGAGACAGGAGAGGTCTGCTGCGCCATGTGGGCTCCTTCTGGCCAGCCAGGGATCGAACTTGTGCTGTGCTTAACCCCTTGTGCCACCAGGGAGGCCCTGTAAAAGTATCTTGAATTTTGAGCTTTCCAGTCTTCACACTTAAGAATCTTGATTCACTTAGGATAATATTTACACGGAATCAGCGTCCTCCTTCAGTGTTGATCTGATGAGTTCAAATCCTTGGGAGGATTTCTTGTGGCTCTCACTGAGTCTCAACTGTTGAACTGGAGTGCCTGAGTCTACTTGTCCAGTTGCTCTTGGACTTGTTATAGGCAGAGATATTCATTGCTAAGAAAGACTTCTTCTATGCTGCATGCTCATTGCGCCTAGACCTGGAGAAAGCATCCTTGCTGGACACTGCTCACATTAGAATGGTTTCCTGATTCACTTTATAAATCATCACTGGGGTTCAGGAAAGGACTAGGCCAGAGACTATTGTGGAGCCTCATTCAGGACCCACACATGGGATTGTTGCCCATCTGCCTCATCCTTTCCAGGTGATGAGAGCGCTGGGCCAACGCTCTTGGGCAGCTGTCCAAGGAAGTACAGTATCCCAAGGCCATAGGCCCACCTAAACAGCGTTACTTCTAGGGGTTGATCTTTGCTGCCTGTCTTAAATTTTTGTAAAAGGCAAATAGCTTAGTGTTTCAGAACAGACCTCAAGTCAGATGGATCTGGAATCAAATCTCTGCTCTGTCCCTTTACTACCTCAGGGTCATTTACCTTCTCTGAGCTTGAGCTCAGAGAGCTTGTGAGATGGCTTCTACGAATTCTTTGTGATGTTTAGTGTGGGGCCGGCACACAGCAAGTGCACGGTGAACATCGGCCATGCTCCTGTTGTGCCAGTACTTACAGTGACTTGTGCTGTTTGGACTGGTGGTGCTGAGTTGGTGCCTTCAGGACACTGTGTGCTCTTTCAGACCAAGAGGATGAGGACGAGGAGGAGGAGGAGAGTGGAGATGTGGATATCAGTGCGGGACGTTTCGTTCGCTATCAGTTCACACCAGCATTTCTCCGCCTCCGGACAGTCGGGGCTACGTGAGTACCCAGGATTTCTGCTCCCCAGCAGAGAATACTCTGCTTGTTCACACAGAAGAATGTTCTCTATTGGATTTTGGGTTGGCTTTATTTTTCTTTTAAGATTTATTTATTTATGCATACAAGAACTGGGGTGTAGACCAGAGATGCGGGGGTGAGAGGATTCACCGGAAAGAGTGGGGAGCAGAGCAGGCAGATCTACTGAAATACACTGCTGAGGGGAGCAGCAGGCAGGACAGGAGAGGTCTGCTGCGCCATGTGGCTTGCTCCCTGGCCAGCCAGGGATTGAACTCATGCTGCAGTGGCTGCCTATAGCTTGATAGCACTGAGACTTACCCCCTGGCCCACCAGGGAGGCCCTGGGTTAGATTTAGAGGAGGGAAGAGGCAGATTAGGGCTCACAGAGATTTATTTTGCAGGGTGGAGTTCACAGTAGGAGACAGACCTGTGACAAACTTCCGGATGATTGAACGGCACTACTTCCGGGAACGCTTGCTGAAAAACTTTGACTTTGATTTCGGCTTCTGCATCCCCAGCAGTAGGAACACATGTGAACACATCTATGAGTTTCCCCAACTCTCTGAGGATGTCAGTACGTATCTCCTGATTTTTATTACATTCTAGACTCAGGGCTGGAGGAAATGAACCTTGAAATCCATCTGGTTCAATGCCCTCATTTTGCAGAGCAGAGAAATGTGACCTGATGGTATCTAGTCATTCGACCTCAGGCTTCTCATTTCTTGGTGCTCCTGCCTGATGTTTCAGACTCTCACTACCTATAGGGACCATTGAAGGTTTTAATAATGAGGCTCATCCTTTTTATTTTTATTTATTTGTTTATTTTTAGAGATTTATTTATTTATGCATACAAGAGCTGGGGTACAGACCAGGGGTGCAGGGGGTAAGAGGATTCACCAGAGACAGAGTGGGGAACAGAACAGGCAGACTGACCGAAGCACACTGCTGAGGGGAGCAGCGGGCGAGTCAGGAGAGGTCTGCTGCACCATGTGGGTCAGCATCCCGGCTGGGGATCAAACTCGTGCTGCAGAGGCTGCGGACAGCTTCATAGTGCTGAGACTTAACAAAGCGCCACCAGGTTTTTAGATGCCTGCTGTGGGTAAATGACTGACTGAGCGAGATAAGAGGAGCCCGTGTCTATTGAGGGACCCCGATAAGATAAAGGACTTGTCTTCTCCGGTGTTAGTCGTAGTTTTCTACTGGGTTCTAGTCACTGGCTCCTGCTTGGCACTGTGAGGCCTTTCATTGTTTCCTTCATGAGAGCAAGATGTGAAATTAGGGGTTAAGTAGAGTCATAGCCTGAGAACCTCCCCTTTCTAATTCTCCGCAAGCAGGTTGATCAGATACACTGTTAGAGTAGACCCAGTCGGAGATTAGGAACTGTTAGAGGTTGCAGGCAGGAGTGACGCGGTGGAAGCAATGTCTTAGGAAGAATAATCCTGCAGTTCTGTGGAGGAAGACCAGGGACAGGCACCAGAGGGAGGTTGCTGGGCAAGCGAAGAGGTGAACTCAGAGAGAAAGAACCGGCTTTATCGGTATCTCGGACATTGGTCCTGCTAGCGCAGGTTAGCATGGTGTCAGTAATTAGGGGGACGGCTCCAGAACCGTGAGGGTGTGAGCGGTGGGGTTCAGCTGGGTTACAGGGAGGATATACATACACAGGCTAATTTTCTCAAAAATCCCAGGTCCTGAAATTGTCAGTCTGAAAACCAGGTATTCTTTACTGCGTGGCAGTGTGGTTCCCAGGTGAAATGTGGGGTAGGGTGTTTATGACAGCCGCTGACCCTGGTTTGAGTCCCACTCCCCAACTTGGGCTGGAATAAATAAGTACTTGCAGTGAAAGATTATGCACAGCATTTCAGGTTTACACCCAAGGTAGTAAAAGTTTTCTTCTTGAAACTAAATAAGCTAAGGCGTGCGAAGGTGAATATTGTGGATATAAACCAAATAACTTTGGCCTAGGTTGGTTCGAAGCACTTTAAGCAGTTTCACCTTTTCAGAACGGCAGTGAACAATAGGCCTTTTCTCCAGAGGCCTCAAAACAGCATGTCATCATTAACTCGGGGCTGCTCAGAGGTGTCGTGACTGTTCGTTATCTTGACCCTGCAGTCTAGTTAGCAGTCTGAACTAAGTCTGAACAAACAGAAGAGTGAAGGCTGGACCCCGAGACAGGTGGACCTTTGGCTGGACGTTTGCAAGGCTGATACTGTGAACCAGCTCCAGAGCAGGCTTCTTCCCACTGCCCCTGCCCCCACGTACCCATGGGATTCCTGTAGTTGTCAGGGGCGTCTGTGAGCAGTGGCACGCTGATACACGGCTTTCTTGGGCCAGATTTGGAGCCAGCTGGGGAACGTACCAGAGGTGCGAGTGAGGAAGCTTCTGTGGTCCCTGCTGGCAAAGGGTAAGCACATATTCTTGGGCCACTAAGAATCCACGCTGGATTTGACCAAGGACGGCCATGTCAGAGAGTTGACTGCATTCTCACATTGAAGTGGACATCATGTACAGTTGAGGGGCTTCTGTGGTCCCCATTTCACCATAGCTCTCAAGGGATGGCTTTGTTGGTTCTCACCTCCTTGTTCTGGCAAAGTACACTCTCATTTTCTGGAAGGACTGACTTAACATATTTTTTCCCCACTTCCCCCATGGGGCAGACTCACACACGATTCTTTGCTTTTTTTCTTTTCCCTGACTTGCAGTTCGTTTGATGATTGAAAATCCTTATGAGACTCGTTCTGACAGCTTCTACTTTGTTGACAACAAGCTGATAATGCACAACAAGGCCGATTATGCCTATAACGGAGGCCAGTAACCGCTGCAGGAGGAAGAGGGGCGGTGCTTTGCTGTGGCTGAAGGTCCTGGCCCGTGGAGGTGACTGACACTGCTGATGGTGAACACTTCTGGCTGGAACTGGCCTCGGGGCGCCCCTGCTGGGTGCCAGTTTCCTGTGCTCCAAGAAGGGTGCCAAGCAGGGCTGCGTTTTCTTTCCCAGTATTTTTTCTTCCCTTTCCCGCCTGCCCCTTTGGTTGCAGGGGTACTATAACGAAGTAAAAGGTTTAGGATTAGTGTGTTGGAATCCAGATTTAAAAACAAGAAGTTTATTTTCATGTCATCCTAGCTGCCTGCTGGTGGCCTTAACGAGCTTAGGTCTCCCCAGTGTCTGCTGGGCCCCGCCAGCCGCCTGCAGGTTAGCAGATCCTGTAGGTGCTAGGTGCTGTGGAAGCTGATAGCCAGGCCTCTTCCGGGCAGCTCCTGCTCTCATTTCTGATGTTGCCATCAGCACAATCTGACCTCAGCCTGTGCATTATCCTAAACCAATCGGGAAGAAACTTGAAAGGGGGCGGAGTGGCGTCAAGGTTGAGGCCCTGGGGCTGGTGAGGCTGCCCAGCCAAAAGATTCATATTATGGAGGGGCCAGCTTATCTGTCTGACTTCCAGGGTTCTCAGCCAGTCCTCTGGCCGTGCACCAAGGTTCAGCCTGGCAGTGCCTTCCTGTTCTTGTTTTGGAGGAAAGCTGAGCTTGCTCTGCTGTTCTTGGCTCCCCACCTTTGAGTACCCCCTGAAATAGAATGTGACAGTTTTGCTCTTGCAACAGTAGTATCGCCCAAGGCCAGAGCAGTCTTCATTGCATTTTGTTTCTAGGCTGCTTTTGGGGAGGTTTTATGCAGTGCAGTGGAGTTCCCAGCCTGTGTGGCGTGCGGTTGGCGTCTGGTAGTACTAAGCAGGCTCCCCGGGCTGGTCTGGCTCCTGTCGGGTGGGATGCAGTTAGGAGCCCGCAGCTCCTTTAAAGGCGCTCCAGGACAGCTGGAGGACTGGCTTTTGATGGGGATTTGCCTCTGAAATTCTTTGTAGTTTTCTCATTGAGGAGGAATTTCTTTTCTGCCTTTTTACTAAAGTAGTTTCTGGAAACATCCTGGAAGAATCGACCTAAGTAATACATATTTTTCTGATCTTTCAAACTGCTAGTTTGGCATTGTTTTGGGCATTTGGAAGGGGTGAAATAGGCAGAGGTCAGACAGATTGCGTTCCCGAAAGAGCCCTCTTGCACATCTGTGAGCTTCTTTTTTCCTTGGGCCCTTACAGGAAAGACCCCTGCCGCCTCAGCTCCCTGTGCTCGTCTGACTGTGTGGCTTTAGGTGCTGAGCCCAAACTCCATGATCCTCTGATAAGATTGTTGCTGCAGCCGGGATTTAGCTCTGATGGAAAGCAGCATAGGAGTGCTGGGTGTGCAGAAAATAGTCCCTGTGAGGCATCACAGTAACTGACAGGAGAGCTGTCTGCCAAGGTGCTTGGGAACGGCTGTGGGGGCTGGGGAAGAAACCCCTGTGCATTCACTGATGAGGTGTCGCTCCCAGTTTGCATCCTGGAGAATGAGTGACCCGGTGCTTTGTGCCAGGCTGATGCTGGCAGCTGTCTCACAGAGAAAGCCCTGAATTACCCCATGTGTTGGCACTGGACCCAACCACTGAGGGAGAGAAGTGCCAGGTGCCCTGCAGCACAGGTTAGTCATCACCAGCCCGGGTGAGCCTCAGAACTGGAGTCCACTACTAATCCCGGTGCCTTAGGTGCCACCCTGCCCCACATGCTGCTGCACGGGTGCTGCCTTGCCCTCCCTCCCTCCCCACCTGCGACAGGCATTGGCTCTGCCTCCTCACCTCTGGGTCTCCTCGAGGCTCCTCTGCTGTAGTCTCGCCCGATCGATGTTCTGAATAACCCCTTCTCTCTGTGACAGAAGCCCTATGCGGAGGGTTTCTGATATTTAATTATTACCTGGGATGTGGTTTCTGGCGCTGCCCAGAGTTCTGCTCTGTAGAACACGTCTTGGAAACGTGTCCCAGGGCAGACCAGGTCCTGTAGACCAGTGGACTCTCTCTTATCTGCAGTGTTAACTTTTGCTCGGAGGAGGCCAGGAGAGCAGGGCCAGGCCCTGTACTCGAGTGCTGTCTTCTCCGTTAGCTTGCCTGGTCTCCATGGAGCCCGCTTGCAGGCCAAGTGCTCCATGAGTGCCCAGCAGGACAGGGCTCGCCACCTTCTGCACCTGAAAGTCTCGTGTTCTGTCTCTGGCCTGCATTCTTGTTTCTGGCTACTCAGGAAATCGGGAGAAGTATTACCACTCTGTGGTGTTAACCAGGATGAGTTTGAAATTCAAATTTTTGTAGTGAGTTGGGGAGAGAATAGAAGTCTTATTTTTTCTGAAAATAACAGAACTGATCAGAAGTTGAATCAGGAGGCTGTTCTGTTAAGAAAACTGGATTATTATTAGCTGTTACCTTGTGGGTGATAAGTGGAAGGAAAAAGCTACCTGTGTGGGGAGACCAGCCCCTCTGGTTAGTGCTGGCCTCTGAGAGGCCACTCCTGCAGGGGGCACGTTCCAGCAGACTGGCAGGTCTGGCCTGGTGCAGGGGCCCTGCTGCCTGTGCCCCCCCCCCCCAGCCTGTCTTGCTTCTGTTGCTCTTTCTCGGAGACTCCTGGGAGAGCACCTCTCTTTCCCTGTGACGTCTTGGGTTAAGATGCCCTACCAGCTTCTCCAAAGACGAGCCTGGTTTATTTCATTCTGTTTTCTAAAGAGCAAACAGGAAGTAACAACTAAAAGTGGTTTGGGGCTCCAGTAGGTTGCCTCTCCTGTAGCCTCTCTTGGGGAGACGGCAGTTGTCAGGGGTGTGTAGTATTTCCTGAGGACACCCAGAGCTTTTGGGCCATCTGATTCCCACACTGGGGCAGGGGTTAGGGGCCACCGGGGCTGACCATAGGCTGTGTCTAATGTACAGATTGGGTGAGTCTTGCCTTACTGTGTCCTGCCACCCCTGGTAGGCTCCCAGGATACTCTTTTCTCTGTAAAGTCACTTTCTTCTGGTGGCCTTCGTCACCATGACATCAGTGAGCTTTGGGGAATGGGCATAGTCTGTCCAAAAATCACAGCACAGACTCCTCGCCTCCTTGCATGGGGGTTGTGGTGCAGAGGGTGCCGCTGTGCCTGATGCAGGCGCCTCATCGTCAGATCACCATGTTACCCACATTCCACGTCATAGAACGTCCAAGCCACGAGAAGGATCTGGTGGAGGTAGATTTACCCCTTGTGTTACAAAGGATCATGTAAAGTCATTGAAGTTGTGAAAGTCTATTTTTTCCCTGTAATTCTATTTTTCACAGAATATAAGGAACATCAATGACCTGATCTGCCCTCCCTCCTCTTTCCCTTTCACCTGAGATCCTCATTCCAGTTTGTATTATCTTTGTGTCTAAAGTAAACTAGGTGACTTATTTGTATAAAATGTTATTTTGCCACAAGAAATCATAATAAAAAGAAAGATTTTCACAGCACCTATGACCTTTCTTGTCTCCTGATTGGGCCCTTGAATTGCTGGGAGGGGCGGGAAGGAGGTGGGGGGTAGCTCTGGGTTTCTTTACCCGGCCAGTCTGAAAACAGTGTAATGACTAACACATGGGGGAATTGTACTGATTTTCAGATTTAGTGTTTTTGCTTTACTTCTTTCACTGGGGGACTTTGAGAATTAAAAATAGATAGGTGTGCTTTAACTAAAGTAAAATTCACCTGAAGAGCATAGTTTGATGTGTTTTGGCAAAAGTAGACAAGTCCTACTACCCCATCACAGCCATGATACAGGGCATGTCCATCACCCCAAAAAGGTCCCTTGAGGTCGTTATGTTTGTGGTCAGTTTCCTTCCTCCCTCTGCCCCAGCCCTGGGAACCAGCATCTAATTTATGCTTCTATTGGAAATGTTGCATACCTTTGAGATAAACCTGATCCATATTTAAGATCACAGACAACACGGTTTTAAAGTCCGTATAAGTGGCCTGGGGCACCGGAGTGATGGCTGACCTCTGCCCACAAACAACATGTATTTCCCTCCTTTTTCCTGCTTATTCCCCCTTTTTCTCCACCTAGGGCTGGTGCCCATGGCAGGTGATGGAAAGATGAGGAAGAACTCAGAGTATTTGCTAACAACAGAAATCCATTCAGCTTTAAAGTACTGTGGCTTTAGAGGGTTTTTTTTTTAAAAAAGTATTTCTTTTTTTCTTTTTAAATGACATTAAGGACTGCATCTTTTGGTTGATCTCCAGCAAGTAGAGCAAGGTCTTGGAAGAAGACAATTTTGGGTGTCGGGGCCAATGCTTGAGCATGCTAGGCTGAATTATGGAGGGAGGAAGCAGCTGGGAGGGTGTGGTGGTGCCCCAGAGGCTGTGAAAGACAGAGCTAGTGACCCCTCCATAGCTTCTTGGGCAGGGCGGAGACATTCCAATGAGGATGCTAAGGACCAAATACGTGGCATTAAGGGGCAGTGCCCCTGCTCCAGGACTCTTGTGCCCCAAATTGGTGGGGGATGGGGGGAGAGAGAGATGGGACTATAGTGGAACAGGGAAGTAGCATCCACCCCACCTTCACAATCTCTGAGGAAAAGAGATCTTCCCAGGCAATTAACTCCCTGAGCATATTGAGAATCGGAGCAAGACAAGCTCCTGTGCCCTGCTGAAGCTCACAGACTGGTGGGGCGCTCAGACACTAAGTGCCACCAATAATAAAACGAAGATGGGATGGAGAGGGTGTGGAGTCAAACCCGGGCTTCCTGTGGTCAATGCAGGCCTCGGTGAGGGAGCAGGCGCAGACCCGCAGAGGGGACAGCAGTTGCAAAGGCCCTGAGGCAGGAATATGGAAAACTGCCTAGCCGGGCTGGAGCAGACAGCCAGGGAAGGGTGGGCTTGCGGCCAGGGAAGACGCGGAGAAAGGTCACAAGGAGCATTCGAGGCCACGGGTTTGGGTTTTGGCGGAGGTGGGCCGCCGTGGGAGGCCTTCCAGAGACCGCAGGGAGGGGTTCGGGTGGGTTGACCTCCCGGGAGGTCGCCAGGCGAGGCTCGGGTGGAGCGGCTGGCCCCGCCCCCGGGGCGTGGCCTCCGGAGCGCGCCGGCCCCGCCCCCTGGGGGCCCGCTCGCGCCGGCCCCGCCCCCGGGCCTCGGGGCGTGGCCTCTGGAGTGCGCCGGCCCCGCCCTCTGGGGGGCCCGCTCGTGCCGGCCCCGCCCCCGGGCCTCGGGCGTGGCCTCTGGTGCGCGCCGGCCCCGCCCGCGCTGCCCGGCCCCGCCCCGCGCTGTCCGGCCCCGCGCGCCGCGGCCGAGGTCGCGGAGAAGCCCCGCGCCGCCGCCGTCGCCCATGGCCGCCGCGCTCCTCGCCCGGGCCTGGGGCCCCCTCCGCGGAGGTGAGTGCGCGCGGCCCTGCCCGGGGCCGCCTCGGGCCGACCAGGCGGACTCGGGCTCCGGCCGCCCCGGCCCCCGACAAGGCGGGCGTCGTCCACAGCGGGCGGGCGCGCGACCTTTGCCCCAGTCCCGCGGCTCCTCGCGCCTGCGCGGCCCTTGCCCGCTTCCCCGGCGCGGCCCCGCCCCCTGACCCCCGACCCCTGACCCCCGGCGCCCCGGCCCCGCGCCCGCCCCCGGCCCGACCCCCGCTGCCCCTCGTTCCGCGCCCGGGGGAGCTCGGGGCGCGCCTTCCGCGGGAGCCGGGCCTGGGGGATCCCGCGCCCGCGAGCGCTGACCGGGGCCGCGCGGGAGCAGCCCCCGGGCGGGTCGTGCCGCCGCTCTCCGCGCTGCCGCGAGGGGGACCGCGGCGGCCCCAGCAGCCTCCCGGTGCGAGCGCGTCTCGGAAACCCGCCACCCCCGCGCGGCGCCGCCTCCGCTGGCACCGGGGCCTCGCCGCCGCCGCCCCAGGTCCGCGCTGCTGCAGCTAGTCGGCAGCTCCCCTCCCCGCCACCCCCGCCCGGGGGCTGGACGCTGCTGGCCCCACATTTCATAGGCAACTCATTCACGTTCCAGCCCTGCGAGGTCGCAGCGCTGTGCGGGGTGTGCGGGGCCCGGGTGCAGACCGAGCGGGCGGCGCGTGGACGCCTGAGGGGGATCCGAGGTGTGAGGGAGCCGTCCTGTGCCATCTAGGACATGGCAGGGTGCTGTCCCTGGACTGTTGCACTCCTGCCTTCAGTTGCAAAAGGCAAAAATGTCTCCAGCCGTTCCCAGATGCCCCTGGGGCAGATTGGCAGAATTATCCCCAGTGGAGAGCGCCGACGGTGGAGGCCTTGTATTGTTAATTATGCAAGACCTCATGGGCTCCCCTTCAACTGTTGTTTTTTTAAAAGATTTATTTATGCATACAAGAACTGGAGTGGAGGCCAGAGGTGTGGGAGGGTGAGAGGATTCACCAGAGGCAGAGCGGGGAACAGAACAGGCAGACTGACTGAAACACACTGCTGAGGGGAGCAGCGGCTGAGGCAGGAGAGGTCTGCTGCGCCATGTGGGTGGCTGCGGATAGCTTCATTGATTGCATCTTAACCCCTTATGCCACCAGGGAGGCCCTGGGTTTTTTTGTTTATACTCTAATACTGTACAGGCTAATATACTAAAAAAAAAAAAAAAAAATTACTGATTATTTTCAAGTCTGAAATTCTGATTTGGATTTGCCTGAAATTCTGAAAGTCTGTCTCCCCCCGCTGCCATCTCTTATATCCCCTTCTTTTTCTCCCTCTCCCCATTCTCTCTGAATCCTCATGGAGTTTGATGCCTACTAGTCTGTTAAGTATTTCACATCGTGAAAGTGTCTGCTATCTAAATGTTTGGTATTTTTTTTTGTCATTCTGACTTGCTTTGCTACGAATAATTCCCTCAAGCTCCTTTCATTGTACTGAAAATGACTCTTTTATCTTTCTTTATGACTGAATAGTATTCCACAGTGTGGTTAGACCACATCTTTTGAGCCAGTCTTTTTTTTTTTTTTAAAGATGTTAGGTGTTTAGTTCCCAAGCTAAACATCCTTTTAATTTAATTTAATTTAAATTTTTTAAAGATTATTTAGTTATATAAGAACCGGGGTACAGGCCAGATGCACGAGAGGGTGAGAGGATTCACCAGAGACAGAGCAGGGAACAGAACAGGCAGACTGACTGAAACACACTGCTCACGGGAGCAGCGCGCATGACAGGAGAGGTCTGCTGCGCCACGTGGGACCCTCGCTGGCCAGCCAGGATCGAACCAGCGCTGCAGAGGCTGTGGACAGCTTCACAGTGCTGCGCTTAACTGTCTGCGCCACCAGGGGAGGATCTGTTTGTTTTTTTTTTTAAAGATTTATTTATTTATTTATACAAGCACTGAGTACAGTCAGAAGCACCAGAGGGTGAGAGAATTCACCAGGGCCAGAGCAGGGAGCAGAACAGGCAGGCAGATCTCCATCTGTCTGAGGAGAGCAGCGGCCGCGGCAGGAGAGGTCTGTGCACCATATGGGACCCTCGCCAGCGGCCAGGGTTGCCACCCAGCACTCAACTGCTGCGCCACTGGGGAGGCCCTGAGCCAGTTGATTTTTTGATGGACAGTGAAGTTACTTCCATGTCATCACTTCTGGAATTAGGAAATAGAGTGGCAGTAAACATTGCAGAGTGAATATTTTTTGCATTGGTGGTATCATGTTCTTTGGATACATGCCCAAGAGTAGAATTGTTGGGTCATATGCTATTTCCATCTTTAGCTTTTTTTTTTTTAAGATTTATTTTGTTTATGCATACAAGAACTGAGGTACAGGTCAGAGGTGTGTGTGTGTGGGGGAGGGTGAGAGGATTCACCAGAGACAGTGGGGAGCAGAACAGGTGGATCTACTGAAATACGCTGCTGAGGGGAACAGTGGGGTGAGACAGGAGAGGTCTGCTGTGCCATGTGGGTCAGTTCCCTGGCTGGGGATCAAACTCATGCTGTAGCAGCTGGCGATAGCTTGACAGCGCTGAGACTTATCCCTTGTGCCACCAGGGAGGCCCATCCATCTTTAGTTTTTTAAGCTTAATCCAGATTGCTTTCCATAATGGCTGTACCAGTTTATATTCCCACCAGCAGTGTAATGGGGTTCATCTTTTCCATATCTTCAGCACATGTTGAGGGCTCTTTGTAATGTGTGCCATTTTCTCTGGTGTGAGATGGCATTCACTGTGGTTTAAACCTACATCTCTTTCCTGGTAAGCAATGATGAACATTTTACCTCTGCTTCTTGCTGGCAGCCCTGCGCTCCCGGGACTGGTGTCAGTTCCATACTTTCTACCAGTCTGCGGAGCTGCCGGAGACCCACCAGATGCTGCGTCAGACATGCCGAGACTTTGCCGAGAAGGAGCTGGTTCCCATCGCGGCCCAGGTGGACAAGGAACACCGCTTCCCGGCGGCTCAGGTGAGAGCACTAACCCCGCCGCCCATGGTGGGGTCTGCTAGGCTCCTGGGGGAGGTGGCAATGGCGGCCAGGGGCATGGGACCCCAGTCAGGGGACACTGAGGCAGGTCCCGGCACCTAGAAGGTGCCCTGGAGGTGTCCCTGTTCCAGCATGCGGGACCCTGGGCCACCATAGCCAGGAGGTAACTTCCGGCGGGCCAGCGACAAGGGCGGTGGGTTGGTGTGCTTCCGTGTGCCAGGTGTTATGGAATAATAGTGTCAGCGCTTACGGCTGCGACACGCTCGGCACTGTTCTCAGCTCATCTGTGTCTCACAATAGTCCTATGAGGTGATGGTCCTTTTATTATTTTCCCTCTTGTGCAGGTGATGAAATGTAGTCTATGAGCGGGCTAAATAATGTGCCCAAGGTCTTGGAGCTAATGCGTTGCAGAGTAGGGCTTGAGCCCAGCTCCGCCTGGGATCCGGGCCCACACTCCCTCCCGGCCATTGTGTCCTTCCAGTTGTCAGTCCGTGAGACATGTTTAAGGTGCTCCCCTGCTTCCCCTGGCCTGGCAGTGTCTTCAGCACATAGCATAAGTGCTCAGTAGATGTTTGTCAGCTTTTTCAGTCTGAGGAATTCCACAGATGTAGCTGCCATTTCCATGTCTTGTGGGCTCTGGGACCGCTGAGTGTTGTGTGTTCACAGGGTGGTGGCTGTGTGCCTGCACTGTGTGACCACCCAAGGAGCTCGAAGCCGAGTAGGCAAGAGGCATGAGAATTAATGGGGCAACTTTTAGGTGTTGAAGAGTTTTACATGCATCATTTGGTTTCATCGTAAAGACATTACCACCTCCAAATCCAGCCTCTATTTTGCTTCCTGGAATGCCTACGAGGATCCAGTGAGCTAATGTAGATCAAGTTCATCGTCCCTGGCACTTGAAAAGTGGTAGCTATTAATACAACTACTGTTATTTTCCTTCCAGTTGAGGAAATGGAAGCCCAGTGATTTTTTTCCCTCCAGGTTTTCTGGTTTGTGGAGCTAGAATTCACACCGCAGGTCTGACCATCCTCAAAACCCTTCTCCATCCACTGTCCACATGGCTGTCCCAGAAGCTCAGCCGGCGGCAAGGAAGCCCATTCCAGGCCCTCAGCGACCCTGCTGCCTGCTGTAACCACACACGCTGCTCTTGCTGTCCCCATCTGGCATCCCCTCCCCTCTCAGTGCAGCTGCCAGAGATGTGGGCAGACAGCCTGTGTGAGCAGAGGACAGGCTAAGCCATTAGGCCATTGAAAAGCAGGAGGCACTGCCCCTGGAGGGGTTGTCGAGATAAGACTGTGCCAGGGAGGTTGGGAGTGCCAAACAACAGACAGGGATTTGTTTTTCTTTCTTAGTCCTGATTCCTTCAAACTATTGCTGATATTATAGATGTAGATTGGCTCTAGGCAAGAAAGCTGACAGTAGACCCCAACTTTTCACCACTCTGTTCTTAACTAACCCTCGGGCTGTGCAGTCTCCTGCTGGCTGTATGGGCTTGTGGGGGAGAAAAGGACTGTGAGCTGCTCGGTGGTGGTAAGTGCTCCTTGCCTCCCACTCAGCTTGTGCCAGGCCCTGGGCTCAGCAGCTTATATACATGCCTCAGGTGGCCCTCGGACACTGACATAGCTACTGTTTGAGGGGGGTTGTAGAACTTACAATCACAGAGGTAAAGTTGATTATAGAAAAACGAGAAGACACTGCCAAATTCATATTAATTTTGCTGCTTTTCAAAGTTGAAATCATTTAAGAACATGGTTATAGGGATCAAATAGGGATTCAATAACCTTGGGCCCCCAAGGGTTAAGTTGTTTCTTCTCGAAGCTAGGTAGGTTCTAGAGTGGCCCCTGTTGCCAAGCAGGGGCTCGCTACCAAGGTGCATGGAGGGTGAGAGCCTGACGCCAGGTTTTTGAGACAAGAACACTTACAAATCAATTAAGGAAAGAAAGAAACGTTATTGCATTGCCTCCCCGATTAAGAAAGGGAATGAGGTTATATAGGATTTGGGGATCAGGATTGAGAACAAAGGAGTTAAATTTTATTGGGTAAGGAGTGGCCTAAGGGCAAAGAAATGTGAACTTGGCGGAAGTTTATTGGCAGTTCATGCCAGTTTCAGGGCAGTTCATACATGAAGAAGTACGAGAGGCTTTTCTTCAGCTCACTGGAGATTTGAATTTGTTGGTGGGGCTCTGGGGAGCCCCGTCCTCTGCCTTTGTGCCTCTCCGCCAGCTGGTCTGGACAGGGTTAGTAGCCTCCAGGCTGGGTCATCTGCAAATGAATTGCATCTGGTAATACAAACCTCAAAGAGAAAGTGAAATAACTTTCTTTTCTTGTGTGTTCTAGGGTCTGAAAGCAATTTAACCATTTACCCTTCGGTTATATCCCCATTTCTCTGGTGGAAAACACAGGCCAAGAGGCCAAGGGATTTGCCCTCAGAGGGGCAGAGCTGTGCAGCGTGCTAACGTGGTTACGATTCTGGAGTCATTGCTGGGTTTCCATGGCAACTACGCCACTTCCCTACCCTGGCCCAAGCAGTTGCTTCACCTCCATGAGCCCCACTCCCCCGACTGTGACAAGAGGGCGTCTCCCAGCTTTATTCTCATGAGCTTTGGAGAGATGAAAGAGGATACAGAATGCTCTTAAATGGGGGAAGAAAGACTCAGTTTGGCATAGAGCAGGTACTTGATAATTATCCCCCATTGTTGTTATTCCAATCAGAAATCCCACACTCTTGGTGTTCATTCATTCAGTGACTGAAAATACACGGTCTCGCTGTCGGGCAGGGAGAAAGACCTTAATCAGAACAATCACAGTAATAGGTGTGAAATTCCAGCTGCATAAGCAGGGCAGAGGGAGTCAGGGTGCACTGACAGCAGAGCGGAGCATGTGATTAAAGGATTTACACAGTGAGGTCAGAGCTGGCAGCCGGGGAAGTGAGGCTTGAGCTGAGCGCCAAAGAGGAGGGGGAGATAATAGCTAGTTGATAAAGGGTATCTAGCGGCTAAAGGGTGTTGCTGACCAGAAGCAGCATGTGCAAAGGCCCTGGGGAGGGCAGGCGGGAATCGTGTGCAGCATGGTGCAGTCCTGCTTCTTCCCGCAGAGGCCCCTGGGGCTTCCTGCGCCTTCCTACTCACTGCTTGCGGCTGTGGCAGGGTGACTTGAGAGGTGATGGGGTTCTGCAGACCTCAGCTGAGGCTGGGTCTTCGGCGTTTGGACTTGGGGGTCATGGGGTCGGGGCCACATGACCTGAGTTTCTGCAGGCACTGGCTTGGGGCAGGAGGGTGTGGGGTGGAGAGGGGTGGGCATAGGCTCCCGGCTGCCCTGACTGTGACATCTTTCCCTGAGGCCAGGTGAAGAAAATGGGCGAGCTCGGGCTTCTGGCCATGGACGTCCCCACTGAGCTAGGCGGTGCCGGCCTCGATTACCTGGCCTACGCCATTGCCATGGAAGAGATCAGCCGGGGCTGTGCCTCCACCGGAGTCATCATGAGTGTCAACAATGTGAGTCCACCTCCCTGGCGCCCGGGACACGCAGTTGGGCTTGGCTCTCCAGCCACGGGTCCCGACGTCCCTGGACCCAGAAGCCAGGCCTCGGTTCCCAGCCCCTGACCACCTCTGGACTTGGCCCTTTGGAGAACAGGCCTTGGGGTGGGTCGCCAGCAGCAGGGAGGCCCGGGCTTGAAGGCCTCCAACTGCTCCTCTGTCCCACAGTCTCTCTACCTGGGTCCCATCCTCAAGTTTGGCACCAAAGAGCAGAAGGCACAGTGGATCACTCCTTTCACCAGCGGCGACAAAATTGGCTGCTTTGCCCTCAGTGAACCAGGTACCACAGTGGGATGGTGGCCCTGCCCGGTGCCCTCTGCTCAGAAGCCTTCTGGGCAGAGGTAGGAGCTGTAGCCTGTGCTGATTTCAGCGGCGCTTTGTTTCCCGAGGCTGGAGGCTGGGCTTTCCGGGAGAGCGGTCTTGAGCTCTGGAGCTAAGGGGCATGCAGTAGCCTCAGCTGAGCTGGGGGGGTGGACATTTGCTTTGGGGTCCCTTTAGCTTCTGCAGGGGAGCCCCCACGCCCTCTCTCTCAGACCAGTCCCGGGAGCTGCTTGCTGGTATAGCCCTGGAGCCCCGGCCACAGCGTCCTCGGGCTTGCTGGCCGGGGGGTGGAAGTGTCCTCTGCTGAGCTGGTGGCAGTACCCTGCGGGGTGTTGGAGGGGTGCTGGACTCTTGTGTGTGGGGCAGGGAATGGCAGCGACGCGGGAGCCGCCTCCACCACTGCGCGGGCAGAGGGCGACTCGTGGGTCCTGAATGGCACCAAAGCCTGGATCACCAACTCCTGGGAGGCCTCAGCCACCGTGGTCTTTGCCAGCACAGACAGAGCCTTGCAGAACAAGGTGGGGACACTGGAGAGGGTCACTGAGGTCTCCGCTGCGTCATTTCACAGGTTGTGGGGATCTTGCCCGTGGAGCTGTTCCTGCTCCGGGGCACCTTGGGGCTGTCCCTTTCCACCCCTGGCTGGCCTGCCATTGATTGGCATCTTCCCCGGAGGAGCCAACAGAGGGCATCGCCTCCCGGGACTCTGAGACAGGTGGTGGGTAGGGACTGGAGTGTGTCTGGCGTGTTTGGTAGGGTGTGGCTGAGGGCACACCTTCCTGTCCTTGGCAGCCTCTAAAATAGTCTTGGGCTCTTTCAGGGCATCAGTGCCTTCCTGGTTCCCATGCCAACGCCTGGGCTTACGCTGGGGAAGAAGGAAGACAAGCTGGGCATCCGGGCCTCATCCACGGCCAACCTCATCTTTGAGGACTGCCGCATCCCCAAGGACAATCTGCTGGGGGAGCCAGGGATGGGTTTCAAGATAGCCATGGTGAGCTGGGCAGTGGGGGCGGGCCCCGGGAGGAGGTCAGCGGATCCAGCTGGCCAGCCACTCACCCTGGTGCTCCCCACAGCAAACTCTGGACATGGGCCGCATTGGCATCGCCTCCCAGGCTCTGGGCATCGCCCAGGCTGCCCTTGATTGTGCTGTGACCTATGCTGAGAATCGCAGGGCCTTTGGGGCACCCCTCACCAAGCTCCAGAGCATCCAGGTAATGGGGTGGGGTCTCCAGATGAGCTTTCACTGCTCCCACGTCCTCCTCCCTCCTTTCTGTCCTTGGCGGCGGGAGGGGCAGCTGCTGACAGGTGGATGCGGCTGGGTTGTTGCAGTTCAAGCTGGCAGACATGGCCTTGGCCCTGGAGAGTGCCCGGCTGCTGACGTGGCGCGCCGCTGTCTTGAAGGACAAGAAGAAGCCGTTCATCAAGGTGCCTTCAGGGTGTGGTCTCCCCAGGCATGGTCTGGGTGGGGGCTCAGCTCTTTGGATTTGGAGTGTTTTGCTCCACGAGGAAGCTCCCCCTGCTACGGAGCCTTGTACTGGGGTGCCCCGCTCAAGGTAAGGCTTCTGACTCCACCATCCCCTGTGATTAGGAGGCGGCAATGGCCAAGCTGGCTGCATCAGAGGCTGCAACTGCCATCAGCCACCAGGTGAGTGTCCCCGCTGCCTGGATGTGCTGCCTCGGCGAGACCCCAAGAGTTGAGTAGAGTGAGGGTGCACTCTGCCCTCATCTTCCTGTGGGTGACGTCTTCTCCTGTCTGAGCCCCGGCTTTCTGCCTTAGGCCATCCAGATCCTCGGTGGCATGGGCTACGTGACGGAGATGCCAGCTGAGCGGCACTACCGTGACGCCCGCATCACCGAGATTTACGAAGGCACCAGTGAAATCCAGAGGCTGGTGATCGCTGGGCACCTGCTCAAGAGTTACCGGAGCTGACCTCCTCTGGGCGCCGGCCTGCACCCCATCTAGGAGCTGGGCTGGCAAGAGGATCGTGGGAAAGGGGACAGGAGCCTCGTGACCTTAACCCTGACTCCCAGTCAGAGACGGGGCGGACAGCGGAGGGCCATGCCGCCTCTGCTAGGACCACCCGCCCTTGGTCGCCTGGTCTGGACTGGCTGGAAGGGTCGCTCTGTGCCCTCACCTCTTCCCGCCTGGACCAGTGCCTGGGAGGAGGCTCAGGGAGGGGCTGTCCTCTGTGCCAGGGACACGGTCTTCTGCTCAGTCCTTGACGTGGCTCCCTTTCCACGACTGTGCCTTATTTTCTTCATCAGCTTGGAGGCCGGGCCGGGCTAAGTGGTCAGGTGGGGGCTCCCCAGTTCTGTTCTTTTGGGCCCTGAGGTCAGGGGTCAAAGGAATGGGTGGGGCCAGAAGGGCCAGGCCCTAAAGTAGTGACAGTTTTCAGCCCCAGGGGACCCTAGTATTGGGAAGGCTCTGGGCCTTTGTCTTTCTGGGAGCTTCCTGAACCTTATCTTTGTCCAGTACAATTTTAGCAGGTGGTCCGATGGGGCGGAACTGCCTGTAATAAAGAATACCTGTGTCCTGAGCGGCCTAGTCTCTGCCTGCCGGGTGCTGCTGTGGGGGAGGGAAGCCGATCCAGAGCCGGAGGCAGTGAGCAGGCAGGCCTGGCAGGTTGGGCCTACAAGCAGGAGGGAGGAGGTGGATGGGCTGGGGGAAGGGAAAGGTGGGAGCAAAGGTAAGTGGTTCTAGATGCCCATTTTGCTTGCTTTTTGAATGCTGACTGGGCCAACAGGGGGTCTGCCAGAGAGAGGGTCCCAGAGTAGCTTTGGGTCAAGGTCCCGGCCCAGGCCCTTGACCCCTTGGAACCAGGAGCGAAGCAGCAGGAAGAGAAGCCTGGCAAAGGCACTGCAGGGGTGGTGGGTACAGCCTCCGCAGAGCAGGAAGGGCAGAGCAGCTGGCTTGTCTTACTTAGTTTTGAGTTTTCCGAAGGGAAGGGAGGAAGGAGACGTGACCCATTTGGAGCCACTCCAAGTGGGCGTCGGGCGACGTGGGCCATGGCCCTGTGGCGTCGCCTCTCTGCCCCACCAAGGAAGCAGCGGGGGGATTGGCCTGCTCTGGCTTGTGGGGGTGGGGTGGGGTGTGTAGGCTGAGGCCCAGGGCAGCTCGTGGCCAGAGCCAAGGCTCCCACACGAGGGCCCAATTTGGTGGTTGGGGCACACGTGCTGCTGCTCATGGCGCTTCTGTTGGAGCCGCACCTGGTGTGGGGGGAGGGCAGAGATGTGTCCCTCGGGCGCCTGCGCGGGGTGGTGAGCTAATCCCATGCACCTGGTACCTGCGAGGAAGCTGCTTCCTGCGCACTTAGCGCTTGGGGTCTGACGGAGACCTCTGCTTTTCTCCTGTTCCAGGTAAGCCCTGGAGGGTCTTGCCTCCTACCTCTCGCCTTCTGTGACTCCTGGAATTGCCAAGGCCTAGCCTGGGCTCAGGCGCAAGCTGAGGGAGGGGGAGCGGGGTAGGAGTCAAGGCTTTGACCCCTGCACGGCCAAGTTTGTTTTGAGTTCTGCTGCCTCCCCCCACCTGGGAGGCAGATCAAGGTCCTGCCCCACCGAGTTGCTGACCCCTGACCCAAAAAGTGGGAAGGGGGTATTGAGCGGCCACAGGCCCTCTCTAGTGAGGTAGTCGGGCTCCTGGCCAGGGTGAGCACAGGTGGTGGTGGGGGAGGGAGTTGAAGTGGGTTTTTTTGGATTTTGGGGGGTCTTGTGGAGGGTGAGGGGCTTCAAATTCTGAGGGAAGAGAGCCCAAGTGGCCCGCTCCCAGGCCGGGACAGCCTTGAGCCAGGCCCAGAGGGCTGCAGGCCCACCTGCTCTTCCTGCTGGAAAGCGTCCAGGCCTCAAGGGCCAACGCCTGTCAACTAGAGCTGCTCTGCCCGCACCAGGGCAAAGGGCAGGCGGTGGAGTCAGCCCAGGCCAAGATGCTGGCTGTCTTCCCTGGTTCCGCACCAGGCCGTGCAGTCCCGCACTGCATGGATGAAGGGCCTGGGCCCCGATCCAAGGCCCGTCTGCTCCAGTGTTGGCCTCACTGGGAGTCCACCCTGCGGGCCCACGGAGCACAAACCCTGGGCTTTGACCTGGAGCAGGCCTGTTAGCGGACCCTCCTCTGACTGGCAACTATTCGCTGAATTGGACCCTTGGGTGCATTTGAAGCAGAACTCTGTGCTAGTGGTTTGCAGATTTCACATCCTTTGTGTCTGAATACCCCAGGGTGTATTACCTAAGGACCTAAGGACCGTGGCTTAAGTGGCTTAACTTGCAACAGGAGTGTCACCAGAGCGGGGGGAAGGCCATGAGGCAGTGACCTCTCTGCCTACGGGCCTTTTGGCCAGCCGGTGGTCTCAGGGCAACTTGGGCCGGGGCCTGGGGTCCTGCCTTACATTTCTAGCGAGACTCATCGTCACTGGGGCAGTTGCTCAGGTCGAAGTGGTTTTCCAGGACATGGCACTTCTTTTTTATTTTTTTATTTTATTTTTTTAAGATTTATTTATTTATACAAGCACTGGGTACAGTCAGAAGCGCGGGAGGGCGAGAGAATGCACCAGAGCCAGAGTGGGGACCGGAACAGGCAGACTGATGAAATACACTGCTGAGGGGAGCAGCGAGCGGCAGGAGAGGTCTGTGCGTCAAGGACATGTCACTTGAAGTGTGGGGCCGGGTGGCCCTGCAGGCTTCCCTCGGTGGCTGGCAGGATGGCCGCCTCGCCTGTTTTTGGCAGCGATGGTGTGAGGTCCCTCTTTCATTGCTGACCTCCATCATTCCTGTTCTGTATTTTTTTTTCTTTTTAAGATTTATTTATTTATTTATACAGCACTGGGGACAGTCAGAAGCGCGGGAGGGTGAGAGAATTCGCCAGAGCGGGGAACAGAACAGGCAGACTGATGAAATACACTGCTGAGGGGAGCAGCGGGCGGCAGGAGAGGTCTGTGCGCCATGTGGGACCCTTGCCTGGCGGCCCGGGGACCGAACTGGCGCTGCAGAGGCTGTGGGCAGCTTTGCAGCCCCGCTCTGAACGGCTGCGCCACCAGGGGAGGCCCTGTTCTGTGTTTTTCTTACTCTGAGGTCGATCAACAGTTCAGTCTTCCTCAGGACCAGCTTTCGCTCTATTGACAGTTTTGTGTTTTTTAAAAGTAATTTTATTAGATAATAAAATTGTTTTCTACTTTTTAAAATTGGCTGTTCTTTGTCTAATTTCCTGGGATTCGTTGATTTTTCAGTCTTTTTTCAGTCATTTTTCTGAAAAGCGAATGTAAAGTTATGTGTTTCTCTAGGCAGGGTTTAGCTTAATTCAACAGATTGTTTTCTCATTATCAGTTTTCTGAGTTCTGTTGTCCTTTCTCCTGAGATTTACCAGTTACTTAGAAGAGCATTATTTCATTAACATGGGGTTTTCCTTGGTATTTTTGTTACCGATTTTTAAGGAATTTGGCAAAATACTCATAACAAAAATTTTCCCCCTTTAACCTTTTTTATGAAAAAATGAACACTTTGGTGGCATTTAATACATTGATAATGTGGGACAACCATCTCCACTATCTAGTTCTAGCTTTTTTTTTTTTTTTAAAGATTTATTTATTCATGCATACAAGAACCGGGGTACAGGCCAGATGTGCGGGAGGGTGAGAGGATTCACCAGAGACAGCGGGGAACAGAACAGGCAGACTGACCGAAATACACTACTGAGGGGAGCAGCGCCATGTGGGATTCTCGCCGGCGGGCCAGGATCAAACCCGCGCTGCAGAGGCTGCAGACAGCCTCACAGCGCTGTGCTTAACCGCCTGTGCCACCAGGGAGGCCCTAGTTCTAGGTATTTTCATCAGTTTTCAAAAGAAAACCCCATATTCACTGTTAGTGATTTTTTTCCTTAATTGCACTGTGGTCTTGTTACAGGGCACCCCCGATAGAGAACGGGTTGCCTGACTGTGGGTCCTCACCCGCGCGCTTCAAGGGGACTTACTAACGCTAGACTGCAGACACACGCAAAAGGTTGATAAAAGGTTTATTTACAAGGGAAGGGGAGATGGGGAAATGAATAACTCGGGGAGAAAAAGAGGAAGATAAGTTCGGAAATGCGTCCTACCCGTTCCGCTGACCTGGAATCCCAGTGACCCTCCGAGCTGGCAAAAACCTGGCCCGCCTCGTGGCCAAGAGGGCGACCCCGGCCCCATGGCCAGTTCAGTACTCAAACCCAGAGCCTCGTTGCTTAACTCTGCCCTCAGGTCCTGGTGACCTTCCCTTTGGGGATCATGGGATGTGTAGTTCCCAGTGTCGTGGGGGTGGAGTCCACAAAGCCTGTGTGGAGTTTGCTCAGGACATCCTTTCCCCCTAACAGTCTCAGAACATTTTCTAAATTATTTAGTTTCTTTGAAATTGTTGCTATTTGTTTCATGGTCTTAAGTCACCTTTTTTTTTTTTTTTTTTTTTTTTTTGGTGGGACCCTCGCGGGCGGCTGGGGATCGAACCGGTGCTGCAGAGGCTACGGCAGCTTCGCAGCCCAGTGCTCAACCGCTGCGCCACCAGGGGAGGGTCTTAAGTCACTTTTTGTAAACACCAAACATCGTTTTAGAGGCTTCCCCCCAGGTTGGCGCACATAGCGGGTTTATTAAAACTTTGCACCCCGCTGTCCCCTCTCAGGGGACATGGGAATTCTAGCATATCACTCGGATGTCCCTCTCAGGGGACATGGCAATTTATTAGTGATTACGGGGAATTGAGTTATTTCAACGCAACTTTTTGAGACATACATGTTTCCCCGAAGTTTTATTTTATCTGGAAATGGCACAAGAAATTAAATCAAAATATCGTGAAATTACTAAGATATATACAAGAAATGTCAGCGGGTTTTGTGTGGGACGCGATCGTGAGATGCCTGCTCACGGCGGTCCCAGCACTTCGCGAGATGCCACTTGAAAGGAGCGACAAGGGGAGTTTGTAGAAGAAAGGTTGGTTTTCGAACATAGCGCGCTCTGTATAGGAGATATACAGTTACAAATAAACAAGTCTACATCTGGAGGAAAAGATTTTCAAAGCTGAGCTCATTTTGGTTTGAAGCTTCGAGCAGTGCGCATAGATCTAACGAGCAGAAAATGGGAAAAGTGATTCTTTTCTTAGTGAATAAATTGTTTGGTGAAAGCTATTTTGGTAAATATCATCTTGTCAGTAATAACAATTAGAAATTTTCAACCCATGCATCATATTTTTTATTAGACCAATGGCAAAGCGTCCAACCACGAATGAGTCTCATGACCCAAGTAGTAGTGAAGATGAGCTCGGGACAGGCCCTACCCAGACCTGTCAGACATGCACTAACCAGCCTGCAGTGCATATTGGGGATGTTACAAAACTTACCATACTGTACAAAATTATAAACAATAGAATATTTTTTTTTTGCAAATATACATTCCTCGATGTCACCCAATTCATATAAGTCCAATATCATTATAATACGTTACTTGGTTCCAAAATTATACTAAATAATACGAGGGTCTGTAAATGCACGTTTCCGCCTCAAAGTAGCGTCGAGCACCTGGTAGCCGATGTCCAGAATGGTTCGGAGTGCAAAGGGTTAACATTGTTGGCTGCCTGGAGACTCTTGTAGATCTAGTCCACAGTTGGGGCGTTTCCAGCTTTTCACTGTTAGAAACCATGATGTAGGGAATGTTCTAGAATGTGCCTGCTTGTTCATATGTGAGAGTTCCTGAGCGTTTAAGAAGTGGGCTTCCTCGGACCCGGGCTGTCCCTTCAGCTTCGCCGGGTACTGCCCAGCGGACCCTCCACAGCGGCTGGGTTGTCCCCCAGCCCCGTTAGGGGGCACGAGTGTCGCCCCTGGGTCCCGTCAGACTCTGCACCTTTTCATCACCTGACTGATTTTCAGGTGCATCTCCAGGTTGCTGGAGAACTTGAACATCTTCTCACGTGTGTTCGCTGCTCTGCCGTGAATTGCTGCTTCGGTCCTTTGTCTCTCCTGTGGCTTGTTCCTTTTGCCCTCCCGGGGCTGTGGCCGCTGTGGGCCAGGGGCGTTCGCCCCGCAGATGCGGGGTGTGCTCAGGACGCCCGTCATTTGCTGGGCAGTAGCGAGAAGACTCGACAGCGTGTGTTTTACTTTTTAAAAAGGTTTCACATTTGAATTCCACTTTTGAACTTGAAAAAACTGTGTCAGGACTCTTGCCTGGGCTCCACAAACATCTTTTAAACTTCATTTTTTACTTTTTTTTCCTCTTAAAAGGACAGGCTTGCTAGGAAAAGGAGAAAGGGAAAAAGAGAGGCACCTGCACAGGCAGTGGGGGTCCAGCGAAGGGCGCCTCTACAAGCAGCTACCCCCAGGTCTCGCGGTGACAGTGACTTCCCCCGGCGGGGGG